TTAATTTTGTTTATTCATTCATCTATTTTATTTTGGCCAGAGGGAGACACACACACACACACACACACACACACACACACACAGAGGGAAAGTGAGAAAGTAAGTCACCAGGTCCAGGATTCAAACCATGGTCAGTCATGTGGGAGTGCTCAGCACCTTAACCACCACGTCACCTGCTGGTTCTGGCTTCTTATTAACTCTGACCCTCCTACTAGCCTAGTTAGTGACTTTCTATACAGAAAGATCTCTGGATTCTGCTGGTCTCTAGGTATCAGCCTATCAGAGAAGGTGAGGACTAGGAATAGGAGCTATAGTTCATCCATCCTCCCACCCTCTCTCTGCTATAAGCTGGGAATACAAAGATTATACTTGTTATAATTAACATAAGACTCCACATTATTAGCATCTCTTGGGCATTTGCTATGTGCCAGGCATTCTGCTAAGCCTTTGCATAGGTCAAGCCCTCACAAGAGCACTGTGAAGTACATAACAATATCCTCTATTTTGTAGGTGGTAACTGAGACTTAGCAGGTTACATACTAGTCAAGATCATATGGCTAAAAACTGAAACTAAAAGCTGGAGCAAAACTGTAGGGTCTTTGCCTACAGGGAGATAACAGAACAATGGAGCAGCAGACTGATTCATAATTTCTACCCACTGTGGGGGCTAGCTGCTCCTCCATATTCCTTGTTTCTGGTCTCCACAGCAAACAAAAAGAGATTTGGAGTTATTGGTTTGTCATCCTGTAGTGTATAAAGTTCTTTTTTTTATGATTTAAAAAAAAATTTCAGAATTTATTTATTTATTTATTTAGGTTTGAGAGAAGTTTTTGCTATAGGGCATGTGTGCTTGCCAGAAAGAGAGAGACAGAGAGACAGAAAGCGAGAAATCACACCCTAGGGGGGATGGCCATGCTACAATCCCTTCTTCATTCTCCTCTCAGGATCTTGGGCACACATGCACATGCGCCTGGCGTGAATTTAAGCCACTGGGTCTGGGACGTGAACCACGGTCGACTAGTTCTTGATGTGAAACACAGTGCAAAGGGTATATCAGAAAAAATCTTTATAGGCGGGATGGGGGAGAGAGGCAAGCCCTCCGAGTTTGGCATTGGTCGCTGGGTGGTTTTGTTCTAGCGGATTAGAGAGTCTACCCCAGAGAGTCAGACAGGGTAAGCAAGAGCTCACTTCGAGCAGAACTAAAGGAACTTGGAGAACGTGCAAATTCAAGACACCCTGTCTGACCCCTCTTCTCTTTCTGACAGAACGCAGGCAGGTCTCATCCTGTCTGCTAACTCTGGAACCTCAGATCTACTTCTCAGGCACACCCTGAGTGTGCAGAGACCCATGGTGTGATTGTGAAGGGGGTGAAGGTGTTCGCATTGCACACCCAAAGCTGGAGACTTGCTGGAACTGAGACACTGGGCTGTTGGACAAAGATGGAAGTTTCCAGAACTGGCCGCTCTAATCTGTGTAGGGCATGGGGGAATGGGGGATCAGGAGTGGTATGCTTATCTCCCATCAGGACCATGAGAAAGAGGTCCACTTTGCCAAGAGCTATTATTTGTGTAGTAGGGACATGATCACAGGCTAGCTGCAGGGGACTGCATGTGGGGGACATTATGTCCCTGCTTGTCCTACGAGGTCCCCTGGGGACACCCACTGGTCATGTGCTTTGTATGTCCTGATTTGGGCAGGACAGATTTGCTGGGTAATGGCAATGCTTAGCCCTGGGGACTCCCTTTTTTTAGTGATCTATCTAACCAAATGAACAACAACAGGTCTTGCCTTTAATGCTCCAGCTACAGGCCTCTGTGACACCCAGCCCACAGGGTTCCACTCCTATTCTTTCAGTGTTTGTGACTCTTCATGGTTTAAGACCCTTGTCTAGCCCTCTACAGAGACTGACTCTATGTCAGGCGCTTTGCATCTCCAGCTAGGCAGCCCATTCTACAAGAGAAAGACCCTATCCTTGGTATCTCAGTCAGGGCCCTGATGTCTCCAAACCCCAGTTGCTTGGCCTTTTAATAAGCTGTGGGTTTGAATGCATTCATGCTGCCATTGTAGAGCTGAGACAACATCTCATAACAAATACACAGATGCCCCCAGACTCAGAAATGTCTTCCTTACATTATTTGTCCCTTCACCCACAAGGGACTTTGTGCAGATAGTGCCAAGAAGGAGGGTCCAAGCCTTGCAGAGACTAGTTGAGAAGAATAACCTGCTCACATCTGAAGTTCTGAATCAGCCATCACTATTTTGGCTAAGGAACAAGTTGGGGCAAAGACACTTAGGAAGAGAGGATCAAACCTTCCTTCCTCTCCTTATAAATTTTAGGTTCGAAGCCGACTTTTCCTGGATGCGGTGTGCCAAGTGCTATTCTGAGTCATGTAATTCTCCAAAACAGTTCGGCTCATTTTGCAGATGAGGGAACTGAGGCCCAAAGAGCTAAGTAACTTACCACATGGCTAATATGTGGTGCAGACAAAATTCAAACTCTGACTATCAGACTCCAAAACTGGAATTTGCCACGAATCCTCCTTATTGATGGTTGGATCAGATTACTTTTAATGTTCCTTCTAATTCTGAAATTCTGATTTCAGGACATTATAAACCTGTTATGACCCTCTTAAATTTGTTAAATCCATTCTAGATCTCTGTGATTGCAAGCCTAATGATACTTTTAGGGTCAACATTTAGATCAAGATAGAATTATTACAGAGAAAAGAAAACTAACTGAATAAAATCTACTTTTACCATGTTTTTAGAGTTGACCTTCAAATGCAGCACTGTATTTGTGAGACTCAGTCATTTATAAGTTTGCAAGTGCTAGAAATGAAGTTAAAATACAGGTCCCTTCAAACTTAAGAAGGAGCAGCAATGCCAAATTGCTATTGACTAATGGAGTTCTTCCTACACAATTCAGTTCACCAGACTCTATGGAGAGGCTTGATTCTCACCTGTGAAGCAGGGGGAGATTGATGCAGAAGGAGCTAAGGTTCCAATAGCCTAGGCCCAAAAGAGCTAAAGGGAGTACTTAGCTGAGGGTCTGCCAAAACCTTAAGAATGCCCACACCAAATTGAGAAGTTGCTCTGCACAGCAGTTAAATGCAAGGAATGTTCTCTGAAGGCCACACTCCATGGCACATACATAATAGGACTCTTAAACGTGGTCCTGGTTACTCTGGAGATGAACCGACCATCCCTGGGGAGGTCATCTTTATGACTTGATTTAGCCCAGTCCTCCCATGGCATAGCTGAACACCAAGTGTGGACAGCACTTCTCTAAGTGCTTAGCTGTGTTTCTTTGTTCAGCTGGCATGCCTCAGGGGGAAGAGGGATGCACAAGGGAGCCTGCCTGAGTAGATTAGACTTAGCTTGCCCCTTAAACAGGCAGAGGCTCCCAAATGCTGTAGGTCCAGCAGATGGCTTTATGATGTAAAAGGCCTTGTGGACCACCTAGGCCTGCCAGCCATTCAGTACTTAAAGGATGATGAGGAGAAAAAGCCAGTCCATCAGACTGAATGGGAGGCATTTTGATGAGACACCAATGAGGTGATGTCTGGCTTTGTACTAATTACCATAAGTAAATTAATAACGCATGCCAGGAACTAAAGTAGAGACATTGTCCTCTTGTAAACCCTTAGGATGGGCCCAGAGACCACCAACAGTCCAGGGCCTGTGCACTCTAAGTGCTTCAGGGATAATGGGACTGGGCAACAGCTCAGTGCCCACCCTACACTCACCAGCTCACATGGTGAACAGCATTGCCCTGGTAGATTCAGATCTGTATAACACAGACTTGACCTGAGATCACAAGGGAGATTCGGCCTGTGCCATGTTCACACCAATGACAACATATGTGATAAGGGAGGCATGATAGCTGTACATGCAAATAGCATTTGCCTGCATCAAAACCATTTGATCATAAGCTCCAGGGGCTGCAGATGGCATGGACTCTGGAGGCACAGTTCCTGCTTGGAATCCTAGCTCTGCCATTTGCCAACTGTGTGGCTTACACAGGCTACTTAACTTGCCTGGGGCTCAGGCTCCTCATCTATAAAATGGGTATCATTGTTCCTACCTCCTAGGGTCATCAGAATTAAATGGGTTACTATTAGAGCTGGATTTCTCAACTTCAGTACTACTGACATCTGGGCCCAGATCATTCTTTGTCATGGGAGCCGTCCTAAGCATTGTAGGATGTTTCCCAACATCTCTGTCTCCAGACATTGTGAAATGATCCAAACAAAACTGCCTCCAGTTGAGAACCACAGTTGCAGATAAAAATGGTCAAATAGCAGCAATTTCATAGGGTCCAGCCCAGTGATAATAAAGAATTTAGTTAAAATCCTCTGAGTTTTATATAAATGTAAAAATTTATACAAACCTTTTGTATAAATGTTTTTATAAATCCCATTTATCTGGGATGAAGGAACCCAAATGACTTCATTGGATGCTCAGAAAAAAACCTAGTGTCCCTGACCTGAGTTCAAGTTTCTCTAGAGGAACAGAATTTCTGTCAGTCTTCATATGTAAAATGGGACTGATAATGATCTCTACCTCCTGGGCTACCCTCCTGGGGTTGTGAGGGGAATGTTAAGGGGGGATGCTTTTATACACTGGAGAAATAGCATAAGATGTTATGAGAATGCTGCCTTCTTAGGACTTACGTTCTGAGGTCAATAGGTAGGAGGGACTTTTTCCTCTTTGATTTCTGAAAAGGTGTTAGGATTTGTGGAAAGTGTGTACCTGAGAAGTGTTGCAAGGCAGTTGAATGGTGTCTGTGACTGGTTGAATGAGGTTTTCCTGGGAAGGCACCAACCATGGCTCAGAAAAACAGAAGACCAGGGGCCTTGTCTTGGCTGTAGGGCACCCTGGAGTGGGTAGGTCAACGACTGTCCACTCAGGATCAAAAGAGGAACCAGATTCCTTTGGACAAATGGCAGCATGCTTTCTGGCTCCTGAGCCTCCTCTCATGACATTCTTTCTGCCCACAGATGTATAGAGGCTTCACCAAGATGCCCCACGTGCAATACATCCACACAGAAGCTTCAGAAAGTCTCTGTGGCCTTAAGCTGGAGGTCAACAAGTACCAGTATCTGCTGACAGGTAATGGTCAACTCTCACAGTGAGGCCGAGGTCTGGCCAGAGCCCACCATTCCTTTACTCTGGACGGACAGGGAAGGAGTGGCTGATTTAGCAATGTCCCAAGTACATTAACCAGGTGTCCATTCAATTGCCCCAAGTCTCTGATGGTAAATGCAGCTCAGCTCCCAGTGGTGAGAGCTTGAGGCACCTACACTGAAGCTGGGTTGTAGTCTCAGCTCTACGCTGGCTCTGCAGAGGTGATCTGATTCTACGGTTGTTCAGTTTATTATGACTAGAAGGGATGGTCTGTCCTGTAGCAGCACCTCGCAACCAACCTGTTAGGTCAGCCTGTGCAAGTTACCTCCTTTTCAGTAGTCAGTGTAGTCAAAGAGAAAACAAAAATGGAAACCATTATGGTGGGAGCAGAGTTGGTTCCTAGTCCTACCTCCAGTACTTAATGGGTTTGGGATCTTCAGCAAATTGTTTAGACTTTCTAAGCTCCATTATCTTCACCTGGAAAATGGGGACACAATGTATCTTCAAAGATGTCAGGGAGGTTGAAGTAAAACCATGGGTTTGAAAAGCACCCTGCATAGCACCTGGCCATGTGGGAGCAGCACGAGTGTGACTTCTTTCCCTGTGACAAGGCACTGGACAAAACAACTTCCCCCTTTATTGTCTTTCTCCAGGCCGTGTCTATGATGGCAAGATGTACACAGGGCTGTGCAACTTTGTAGAGCGGTGGGACCAGCTCACTCTCTCCCAGCGCAAGGGGCTGAACTATCGGTATCACCTGGGCTGTAACTGCAAGGTAAGCCCTGGGGTCGGGGAGGGAGGTGCTGGCTCACAGCCCCAGATACATTGACCTCTGCTGTACTGGGTGCTGGGCCCTTGTGCTGGGAAAGGCGCATATGTGACAGGCCAGGGCAGAGGGAGGCAGGATCAAGCAGAGGTGGTAAGGAATGTTGCCTTCAAGCTGGGCAGTGAGGAAGGTGAGAGGAGAAAGGTTTTCTACCATAACCTGTGCCTCCATGATGCCCACCTGGCAGTCTCTGGGACATGGGTGCTCTTCGATGTCCCTGATCCCTCCTGAAGGTTCAGGGCTAGAGCAACTACAGGTCCTGCCAAGCACTCTCAAGTGGACCCTGGCAGCTGACTCATCGGTGGCTCCCATCCAAGGAGGCTAAGCTGGTGTAGGATTGCTGATACCAGATGCTTCAGAGGTCCCTCTTCAGCCAGGTTCACCTCTTTGACTCAAGCACAGGGCTAAGGCACAGCCTTCCTGCTGTGGAAGAGAGTCAGGCCATTCTCTCACTTAATCCTTAAAACAACGCTGTGTGTCTTTAATTACTATTATCCCCATTTTACAGATGAGGAAATAGTGGCTCAAAGTCGAAGTAACTAGCCCTAGCTCACACTGCTGAGTCTGGTTTTCAGCTGACTCTGTGACAGCTGGACTCCAAAATTTATGCTTTAATATGTCTAATTCCTTAATACCCTACAACATTGAGATTTCCCATCTATGCCTTTTACTATTTGAGAGAGAAAAGGGCCTCTCAAATGTCTAATTCTGTTATTTACTAGCTGTGTATCCTGGAGCAAGTTTCTTAACCTTTCTGACTTTGCACTTCTTTATCTGTAAAAGGGAGATAAAACTTAAGAGAATTAAAAGAAGTAACACAGAAGCACATAGTAGGATGTTTTGTACATAGTAGGTGTTAAATTATTATCACTAGGACTATTGTGACTGGGCTTTCCCTGTAGTGATCTGAGAGTCTGAATGCAGACCTGGGCAGCATCAGGCTTGGCCCATCATGGCAGAGTTCACCAGCTGTTGGCTGTTATCTAATTGCAGATCAAGTCCTGCTATTACCTGCCTTGCTTTGTGACCTCCAAGAACGAATGTCTCTGGACCGACATGCTCTCCAATTTTGGCTACCCTGGCTACCAGTCTAAACACTATGCTTGCATCCGGCAGAAGGGGGGCTACTGCAGCTGGTACCGAGGATGGGCTCCCCCGGACAAAAGCATCATCAATGCCACAGACCCCTGAGCACCAGACCTGTCCCCAGTTCACTTCCCTCCCTTCCCGCTGAGCTTCCCTCGGACACTAACTCTTCCCAGATGATGACAATGAAATTAGTGCCTGTTTTCTTGCAAATTTAGCACTTCGAACACTTAAAGAAAAGTCTATGCTGTCATATGGAGCTTATTTGGAACTATCCTCCTGGCCCCACCCTACCCCTTCTTTTTGTTTTTGATATCACCCGTTTCCACCTGGGAATTTCTGGTGCCATGCCAGAAAGAATGAGGAATGTCTCCTCTTCTTCATGACAATATAATCTATATTTTTTTAGGAAAACAAAAATTGAAAAACTACCCCATGCGGGCATTGTAATATCTACACCTGTTTCTTGTTCCCACTTCACCATCTCCCAGATCCTCCTCCCTTTTCCCTTATTCTCCACCCCAATACACAAAGGTCACAGACAAGGACATTGCTGAAAGGCCAACTGTTTCAGGATCAGAAGGGCCCAAGCAGATAGACTTGAGGTATGGGGAAGATCAATACACTGCGAAGATGCTACTGCATGTCCCAACCAGGTTGTGTTTGCTTGTGTCTGCATGCAAGCATGATGGAAGAAAGGAAGAAATTACAAGACAGGGTCAGTGATGATGCAGCACAATTCCCCCAACCCATGATGCTTGGGTTGACCAGATGTTTCTGAGTCTAGAGCAACTAGCCAGGCCAGAATAACAGAGCTTTCTTAGTTGGTGAAAACTTAAATGTCTGCCTGAGGTCAGGAGGCAATTTGCCTGCCTTGTATAAAAGCTCAGGTGAAAGACTGAGATGAATGTCTTTCCTCTTCCCACCTCCCAGAAGATTTCCTCCTGGAAAACTCTAGTAGACTTGGCTGGGGGGTTTTGCCTTTATGTATATTGGAGAAATACACTCACCATACACTATCCACAGATATAGCCAAGTAGATTTGGGTAGAGGATGCTATTTCGGAAGTAGTGTTTAGCTCACATAGGGGGATGTGTTTGTATACACATTTGCATATACCCACACGGGGACATAAGCTAATTTTTTACAGGACACAGAATTCTGTTCAATGCTGTTAAATACGCCAATAGTTTAATATCTCCTATTTTGTTGTTGTTGCTTGTTTGAAGAAAATTATGACATTCCAAGTTGATCTTATTTTTCATTTTAATTAAAATTTGAAATTCTGAAAACCCTTAGGACCCTCTTTTCCCCATAACTGGGGTCCTCTGACCTCTGTCTCCTTTTCTCCTGCTTTATGTTTGGGGGGGCCTCCATTAAACTGCCTTACTGGTTGGCTTAGATGGCAGATGAGAGTTACTGTGGATCAGGGGCCTGGTCTCAGGAGGGATAGTGGTGGAGTGTCCTGCCTTGGCTGGATGGCCACCTCTCCTGGGTTTGAAGACAATTCATTATCCTTCCCTCTGCTCACTGGCGGTGAATGCCACCTCTTGAGGGCCTCACCTCATAGAATTAAAATTAGTGATCACTGAGGAGCCTGACTCTGAGATCAGCTGTAGGGTTCTTGCTGTGTTTCTTGAAATAAACCTATAATATAAATTCTCCTATGAAGTAAAATTATTTTAAATTTTAGGGTTGAAAGTGAGAAGCCAAGAGTAGGTGATAATGTATACTTTACAGAGTTGGGGATGATAGGATGGTGACATTTAACATGACTGCTCTCACATTTTTCAGAGTATGGGTATTTATTCTTTAGTATCTGTATCTTCAGTTCATTCCACTTTAGGAAACAGAGCTGCCAACTGAAACAGGAGAGAAAAAAAAAAAAAGCAGACAACGCACTGTAGTGTCTTGCACACACACACACACACACACACACACACACACAAATGCCCAGGCAAGGAGTTTACCAGAACTCCCAAGTGGGAAGACAGAAAAGGCATCAGGTTTCTTTGGGATTGATTTAATTACTTTGTACCTTTCCCTTGTGGTCACACAATTTTACAGGGGGACATGAGAAGCTGGTCCTGGCTGTGGGGCAGTATGAACATGTGGAATGGAGATGAGCAGGCCAGTGGTTTTCAAAGGGTGGACCCTGCATTTGACATGTAGGAGTTTTCCAAATTTCACTTCAAGTCTTGCAAGATAGAGCTCCTGACCCAATCTGCACAGGTGCCCTCCCATATACACAGCCATCAGCATCTCTTTTGTGAGGCATCTGGCCATTCTTGGTCTCTGGTGTGGTCACCTCTACTTACACAAGGAGGGACCTGGGGTGAGGCTTGAGCATGAGGTACCTGAAGTTTCCCAGAAGAGTAGATAAATTGATGAAACCACAGTCCTATTTGCTAAACCCTGGTGAGGAGGTCTGGGCAAAGAAGAGTGTTTTGCAAAGTGATGTTGTCAGAGGGCGGTTTTTGAGCTTTCTATAAGCTATAGCTTTGTTTATTTCACCTGTTCACTTACTGTATAATTTAAAGTCATTTATGTAGCTGAGACACTTCTGTATTACAATCATATCGTGAATGTTTTATTTTGCTAAATCTTGTGTCATATGTAGACTGTAATATGTGTCATTGTGTTTAAGAAAGAAAAAAAAAAAAAAAAAAAGAAACCCACATGCCGCCATTTTCCTGAATCAAATTCTACAGTAGAATGGAGGGTAAAAACTTCTATTGGGCAGACAGCTAGACTGGCGAATCGAACTAACCAGTAACTGAGACTCCTCCAGCTTCCACCCTATCAGAAGCCTACTGGCCCCTGGAGTACAAAGAAGAAGGAAATAAAATTAGGAATTACATTCACATCCTGTTCTACACCAGTTGGCCCTGAGGACACTGCTACTCCCCTCAGCACCCCAAGTCCCTCTGCCCACTCAATTGAGAAACCATGATTTCTCCTAAAAATCCAAGGCAACAGGAGGTATGAGTCCAAGATCTCTGTGCCTCCTCTGGGCATTTCTTCTGACTCCCAGTTGAGTAAGCCCATGGCCAGGTCTTGCCTCCGAGGCCAGTGCTCTGCAATGGCCAAAGTAGGTATTACTAGGAGACTTCTGTTTTCACACTGCCCCCAGCTCCAGCTTGCCTATAGTGGTTGAGCTACAGCTCATGAATACCATTTTTCACACCATGGTTCTTGAACAATTAAAGAAATAAATGACTTATTGGAATAGGTCTGTCTAGGAGATACTGTGACCCTTGGAGACAGTACCCTGCCCCAGCCTTTCCCATTCATCTTGTATGTGATGATCAACAATGTGGATTGCCTCAAGATGGCACCCAGGTTTTTGGTTCCTGGCTACCTAAAGTAAAAACATCATTAGGGTATCAGAAAGAAATGTTTTAAAAGTCTAATGTCAAAACAAAATGGGGGAATGCAAAGGAGGTAGATATCAACAACTTCAAATTGGCTCTTTGAAGGTGAGAGGAAGAAAGAACTTAGAGAATTGTTCACACTTTGGGTTAGGGGCTCCTGAGAGTCTCCTGTGCCTCCATTTTTCCCTTTAGCCAGTGTGCTGTCCTGAAACCCAGAAGTGATGGAGCGAAACCAACCAGAGAAAACCCAGTCTGGAAGGAATGTATTTGTTGCTAAATTTTGTAGCACTGTTTACAGTTTTCCTCCATGTTATTTATGAATTTTATATTCCGTGAATGTATATTGTCTTATAATGTTGCATAATGTTCACTTTTTATAGTGTGTCCTTTATTCTAAACAGTAAAGTGGTTTTATTTCTATCACACACCTGCTGTCTTGCTTTGTTGTGTCCTGACTGCCACTGGGACTCCTTCCCTTCACCTACTTGCACAGTGTAGGCTACTCTGCCCCAGTCCGTTCCCTGGGCAGGAGGAATTCCAGGACAGGAATCCTAGATTCCCTGCTGGCTGCTAATCTAGCTTTGACTTTGTTCCCTGATTCTGTTGCCAGGGTTCGCTCTAATTCTATAGAATTTGGATCTCTCCATTTAATCACCTACGGGTGGCATGAGTACCCCCAGACCAGGTTCCTGATTCAGCCTTTCTTGTTTTCTTCCTAAGAATTCCAACCTGGAAAAGGTGGGGGAAGGAGGTCTGCAAATATCACTGCTAGATGCCAATTGCCTGCTTGAAATTTTGAGTATGCCTCAGCCTGGTTAGGAATACCAGAAACTTCTGAGGTCCCATGAGAGCTGGTGACCCCCTCCCAGAGTTTACACTAGGACAGTCACCCTCAATGGGCTGAGTCAACTGCAGATTCTTTGGCCAGTTTTCATCCCACTGTTGACAATGATCCAGATCTTAGCTTTTGACCCTGTTTTAAAGCTACTCTTCTTTGAGTACCTATCATATACGAGGCACAGCACTTTATACACACAATTGTGTGAAATCTCAGCAACCCACTGAGCTGTTCCACTATCATTCGTGGCTTCCAGCTGAGAAAGCTGAAGCTTATAGAAATTTAGTCATTGCCCAAGACTCAGTAAGTAAAAAGGACTAGGATTCAAACTCAAGCTGGTTTGATGATGAGACCTGAATTTTCTCCATTATGTTCACACTTTGTGGGAATATGCCAAGTTTTACACATCCCCTTCAGATCCCAACCAGCACATGTGAGCACATTCTCTCACTGGATCATACATAGGGGGAAAATAATCAATAGGAAACTTTGCCAACTTAGACTGCTCTCTCATCAAACCTATAGACCTACCTGTTAGTGTCTCCAGAGTCATCCAGTTCAGCAGTCTGAGCCTGGGATTACACACATGCTGGGATTATAAAAGACCCTATTGTTATCCTGACCATGGACTAATAGTCACTGCAAGACCAAGTGCGGCGCCATGGCTACATTCTTTAGACCAGTTTAAGATGACCAACTATGCAACAAGCATTCCATGGACTATTCCCACCTGCCCAGAACTTCTCCACCAAACTTCTTCTAGCTATGGATGGAGAACTCTCTACCTCATTCAGTAGACATTAACCTCTTTTACCCAGTATCTCCCAAAGGGAGGCTATCCCATGTTCTCTGAGCTAAGCTGCCTCCCAGAGAGAACCTCAGATGCATTCGAAAGTTAGAAAGTAAGGAACACATGTTAAGAAACTGCCCTTGAACAATTAGTGCAAATAAAATATTACTGTCTTTATTACAATAAGAGTTGAAACCAGGCCCCAGAAAGCGCTCAAGTGAAATAATATTCCACCATGAAAACATCTTTTACTTTTATCAGCAACCTCTGGCTCCAACATACTATCCTAAGATTTGCTGAAAATTCCCAAGGTTCCAAGAAATGTTATCCGCCTTTGCCATTTGTCTTACTGTCTGAATTCCACTGGAGAGATGACTCTTCCCCTACGAAAGCCAGGCACTCCTAGGAGACATTATGGCTCTTCCTTCATATAAGCCCATCTCCAAAGTTCAAAGGGACTGAGGACACAGACATCTGTGCTCTTCACATTATAAAAATAAACAGAGTAAAAATGGGCACTCACCATTGGTTTATAGTTCGGGAAAAATGTTTGCTCCACAAGTGGGAAGTTCAACTCAAGCTGGTTTGATGATGAGACCTGAATTTTCTCCATTATGTTCACACTTTGTGGGAATATGCCAAGTTTTACACATCCCCTTCAGATCCCAACCAGCACATGTGAGCACATTCTCTCACTGGATCATACATAGGGGGAAAATAATCAATAGGAAACTTTGCCAACTTAGACTGCTCTCTCATCAAACCTATAGACCTACCTGTTAGTGTCTCCAGAGTCATCCAGTTCAGCAGTCTGAGCCTGGGATTACACACATGCTGGGATTATAAAAGACCCTATTGTTATCCTGACCATGGACTAATAGTCACTGCAAGACCAAGTGCGGCGCCATGGCTACATTCTTTAGACCAGTTTAAGATGACCAACTATGCAACAAGCATTCCATGGACTATTCCCACCTGCCCAGAACTTCTCCACCAAACTTCTTCTAGCTATGGATGGAGAACTCTCTACCTCATTCAGTAGACATTAACCTCTTTTACCCAGTATCTCCCAAAGGGAGGCTATCCCATGTTCTCTGAGCTAAGCTGCCTCCCAGAGAGAACCTCAGATGCATTCGAAAGTTAGAAAGTAAGGAACACATGTTAAGAAACTGCCCTTGAACAATTAGTGCAAATAAAATATTACTGTCTTTATTACAATAAGAGTTGAAACCAGGCCCCAGAAAGCGCTCAAGTGAAATAATATTCCACCATGAAAACATCTTTTACTTTTATCAGCAACCTCTGGCTCCAACATACTATCCTAAGATTTGCTGAAAATTCCCAAGGTTCCAAGAAATGTTATCCGCCTTTGCCATTTGTCTTACTGTCTGAATTCCACTGGAGAGATGACTCTTCCCCTACGAAAGCCAGGCACTCCTAGGAGACATTATGGCTCTTCCTTCATATAAGCCCATCTCCAAAGTTCAAAGGGACTGAGGACACAGACATCTGTGCTCTTCACATTATAAAAATAAACAGAGTAAAAATGGGCACTCACCATTGGTTTATAGTTCGGGAAAAATGTTTGCTCCACAAGTGGGAAGTTCTCAGGACCCAAGGAGTGGAAGATCTTAATGAGCTGCGAGAACTAGGACAGAGGAAGAGAGAACATTCATCAGCCATTTTTACCAGGATGGCTGGGCCTCAAACATCTGCTTGCTCTGAGCTCAGTTCCAGTGACTGTCCCCTCCAAAAAATGGCTGGATTCCTTGGCTCATCCTTCATCCTCTCAATCACCTGGTGGCATTGACCTCTCCCTTCCTATCTAAGACTAAGAAAGTAGGAACACTGGGTTCAGTTTAATGGCATTGAATGAGCACTTACTACATCCTCAGATTTCACACAGTCCACAGCACAACCTGCTAATGACTTTCATATCATCCCCCACCTGCAATGCCCTTCTGGAGAGGCAGCACTGCATGGTGGTTTACTACATAAACTCTGGATCCAGTTTCCCTGGACTCAAAATTAAAAAAAAATTTTTTTTTTGGAGAGGTTTTTGCTATAGGGTGCGTGAGCTCACCAGAAAGACAGAAAGAGACAGACGGAAAGTAAGAAATTACCCCCCGGGGGGATGGCCACACCACAATCCCTTCTCCTCCATTCTCCTCTCAGGATCTCGGGCCCACACGCACCCAGTGTGAGTTTAAGCTGCGGATCCGGGACTCGAACTGTGGTCAACTACATGGGAGTCCAACGACATAGCCATTATGCTAACTGCTGGTCCCAAAATTTTAAAAATATGTTGTCAGAGGGTGCATGTACTAGCTAGAGAAAGAGAGAGACAATGAGACAGAGAGAGGGATAGGGAGAGGGAGAATGCGTCCTCTGTTGGGGCGTGGACATGCTGTAATCCCATTTCCTTCATTTTCTCATCCTATCAGAATTTGGGGCATGCATGCATACACACATGCCTTGCATGTTTTTCAAGCTGCTGGGGCCAGGATTCCAACAATGGTTGACCACATAGGACCCAGCTCCCTTAGCTACTAGTTCATGGGGCCAGCCCTATAATATGTTATTATATAATATTTTTAAGGCAACCATTCCAAGAGGTGTCCTGTGATCTAAGTTGTATATTCAGTTCTTTATTGAAGATTCTTTTCACTACGGAGGCTCCCATGCTAAGGAATGAGCTCATTTCAGGGCTGAAAGTCTACCTGCTACCTCCCAGAGCCCTGCAAGTCAGCCTGGCACATAACCTACCACCCAGGGCTTGCTGCAGAAGTTGTAGACGGAGTAGAGGGAGTTGACAGCAGGCAGTCCTCCATACTGGAGGCCAATGACCAGGCTTCGGTAGTCTTCACCCAGGGCCATGCTGTAGGCATGTTGACGGACCAGGATAAAATCTGGCTTGAAGGATCTGCTGAGAGAGGGGTTAACAGTGTTAGCACATGTACTGATGGGCACCAGAGCATCAGTCACAGCTTGCTGGGTGGAACACTGACCCTGTGGTCACTGCCATGGGAGCGCTCAGTTCAGGACAGAATGGGCCTGGGGGATGTGGAGGAGAAAGATCAGAAACAAAGAAACAACTGCTCAGTTAAAGAATTGAAAATACCACACATCTTCTTCTGTTAAATTTTGGCTGTTTTCTAGATTTCCTCTATTGAATATCTATTTCATTTGTAATTTTAAAAAAGGTATCAAATAACACAGTGAATCAACTAAGACTTAACCGAGTACTGGGTGCTACACCAGAAGTACGCATTACATATTTACCATGAGGACAACTGCCCTAGGAGGTGGGTATCACTCCACTTTACAGATGAGTATCCTGAGGGTCAGAAAGATTAAGTCACTTGCTAAAAAAGACTGCAGGGCTAGGTCCCTGTAGTCTCCGGGGTCTGGCTCTCAACAACCAACAGCAGGGGGACCAGCAGTTGGCGTAACGGCTATGTCGCTGGACTCCCATGTAGCCGACTGTGGATTGAGTCCTGGACCCGTGGCTTAAACTCACGCCAGGCGTGTGTGTGTGCCCAAGATCCCGAGAGGAGAATGGAGGAGAAGGAATTACGGCATGGCCATCCCCCCTGCAGGGTGATTTCTCGCTTTCTATCTCTCTGTCTCCCTCTGTCTTTCTGGCGAGCGCATGTGCCCTATAGCAAAAAAAAAAAAAAGAAAAAAAAAAAAAAAAAAAAGAAAACAAAAAAAAGAAGGGCCCCCTTCC